TCACGATTTGGAAGACTTATTGGTTTTGTGAAGAAATTTTTAGGTACTCTTGCGGACGCTCTAATATACTGTGTGTTAGTAGGAGTAAGTACTATTTCTACTACATATCACAGATCAGGTTGGCAATAATTCTTAAAAGTTTAACTAGAAAATTCAAAGAGAAAAACATACTGTAGAACAAATACTCCTAACCGCTCACAAATACCAACAAACAAGAAACGGTGACATACTAGTAGTATTAACGAAGGCAAGCCTAATAATGAAGAACATGCGCTCAACAGTTATATAGAACCTGTTTGGTAGGATGGCTAACCTCCAACTAGGCTCTAGAAGCCAACTTCCTACTGTTTGGTTGCAATAAATAGCCTGAAGCTAGGCCCAACTAAGGGTCTGTTTGGTTTGGGGTGACTAAAGTTTAATCACCCCACTTTAGTCTCTTTTAGACACATTTTTGCCAAACAAAGTGACTAAAAAGTGGCAAAATGAGTTTAGTCATCTAGTCACCAAGGGAGTGACTAAAGGGGACAAAAGGGCCAAAAAAGACACCCCTGCCCCTCATTACTCCCAGCGCGCCAAAGCCCCTAGCAGCAGCAAATATTTCGGTCAATTAATAGGGGTGTTTTGGTCTTTTTGAACAACTTTAGTCCCTTTTAGTTACCTAAACCAAACATCCGAGGACTAAAGTTTAGTCCCTGGACTAAAGTTTAGTCCAGAGACTAAACCAAACCAAACAGGCCCTAAGCCACTTTAGAGGCCCTAGCCTGGCTCTAGAAAAACAAGATAGGTGGGCATTTTTTGCTGACCAGGCTTGGCTAAGCCATAGTCTGTAGTCTCATCACCGCTCACGGTCACGCTCTTTCGCCGCCGCACTTGCCTCTGCTTGCCTTCTTCTGCTGCCGCGCTAGCCATTGCATGCCCCGCGCTACTCATCCCACTCACTGGACTCATGAAATCGGCCGCCATCCTTGCCAGCCCCACCCTGCATTTGCTTGCCACTGAGCAGCGGTGGTTGGACCCCAGCAGCTGCTGCATCGGAGATGGCATCGGCATGGACAGAGTCGAGATGGCAGAAGCTAGAAGCGAATCGATCTTATCGCTCAGGGTATTCCAGGTGGAGTCCTTCTAGGTGGCGGCGAGTCTCCTCAACCATCGCTGGGTCTCCAACCGTTTCTCCAACTGGTGGTGGCCGCCCCCAACCCATTCTTCCATAGTGGTGGTAGCCTTCTATCGATGACAAAAGGAGGCTCGACAGCAGCGTGAGGCCCTTGTACCCTAAGCCTAGATTCGGGATGCCTAGTGGCGGCGACTACGGTGGCCTTTGCACTCCTTCATGTCGTTCCCATGGTGGGTATGTGGGGGCAATGGGCACTCTCACAGAGGCAGTGCTCCTTCCTCTGCAACGATCAGGCAATGTGTCTAGCACCTCCTCCCCTGATGCCCATGGTGGTGGCAAGCTCCCACACCTCAACTATGTTTCTCATTTCATCCAATGATTTCTATTGTACATGTTTTCTGCATCCGATGATTTCTGTTTGTACATGTATTTCTATGTCCGATGATTTCTATTATACATGTTTTCTGCATCCAATGTTTTCTATGTCTAATGCCCATGAATGTGAGGAGTGACTGCCATCTGATGATTTATGCGTCTGATGTTTTCTACGTTTCTAAACTCGAGTGAAGTCGCCATCATGCTATGAACTCGCGTGGTAGTGTGCGCACGACGCCGGCGACGAGGTTGTCCTACTACTGTCATGCTCTCCGAGGATGCCCACTACTTGTTCAACAAATCCCTCAAAGAGGGTAAACTTACCAAGTCAAAGAAGGGGTTACTCTCTGCAAAATAAACTAGGCAACCAAACCATCATTTGCTAGCTAGGCTTACATAAGGCAGACAACCAAATAACTAGTGATTGGCTTGGTGGGAGTAAGCTAAGGCTGCTCAGGCTAGAATTCTAGCCAGGCTAGAAATAGGCCTGTAAACCAAACATAGCCATATAGGGTGTGTTTGGTTGGGTGGCCAGCCTCTAGCATGGCTCCTTGGAGCTAGTTTCGGCCTGTTTGGTTGCCTGTAAGGGGGCTAGGGCCTAGCTTGGGCTGGCCAGCCATACCACCTAAGCCTGGCCCAGGTTGAACACCGAATTCGGTCGTTCTTGTGGAGCTTGGCTTGGGCCACCTCGCATGGTCATTCCCTTACTGTCTAGGCGCATACCCGGTGACTTCTCTAGTTCTCCATGGCTTTATCTCCGATTCTCCATCCACAGCGCCATCTCCGTCCACGTGCTCCGATGGTGCCATGCCCATCTAGCAGGGTCGTAGCTCTGCCATCTCCATCTATAGGGCGAGCATGATAGGACAACAACGTAGGGCGAGCATGGCAGGACGATGGATATTCGAGCCCTTCCCCACCCGTGACCCGACCTGCGACGGAGATTCGAGGATGACATAGGTCGAGGACGATGACGCAGCCCACGAGCTCCTTCCCTACTCATGACCCTGTCCTACTATGGTGCCACCATGCTCACCCTGCTATTGGCTGCCGATAGTGGTACAAGTACTAGGGTGAGCCGCGGCTACTACTCCTGACGACGGAGACGGAGGAGCACGCGTAGGTGGTGTACTATGTCATGGGGATTGGGACCGGCAACGATAGTCAGAACGAGACGTAGGTGGCCAAGGAAGCTCCCTCCAGTCTAGGTTAGTCAAGATCGAGGCGACTTGATAGCGAAGGCCACGGTGTAGGGCACCGCGGAGGCGGCCATAGCTTCCATCAATCGGGGCTACGACGTCGTCTCCGTGCTGCCGGGCAGCTGTCTCCATGGCTTTTGGGTGGTGGTGGCTGTGGGCCTAGGTAGGTCAATGGCCGTGGTGCAGCCCCAGAGTAGGAGCAAGCCAAAGGGGACCTGGCCAGTGTCGTGGCCATAGCCCCAGAGCATGTGTAGACACCCCCACCACTTGTTCAACAAAATGCCTCAATGGATGTAATCTTACCAATTCAGAGAAGAGGTGACTGTATCAAAACAAACCAGGCAACTAAATACACCTTGGGGCTAGCCAGGCTAATATAGTACAAACAACCAAACAAACCAAGGGTTGGCTAGGTGGAAGCAGGCTAAGGCTACCTAGGCTAGAATTCTTGCTAGGCTAGAAGTTGCCCAGGAAACAAACACACCCATATTCTTCGAAAAGCTTTTTGTTGGTCTCCTGACCCAGCCCAGCCAAAGGGAGGGATGAGATCAATAGAGCGGCAAGTTGTGAGGTATGCAGGATCCTGATCAGGGCATAACTTGCGAAACAACTCCTTCATCTTCCTTAGGCTCTCGTCCTCTACCATGGTCTTCTTGAAGGACATGAGCTCCCTCGTGTCCTCAGCGCCCACGCCGGATAGGAAGGCGTTGAAGTCCCCCAATATGCTGGCCTTCTCCTACCTGAACAGCACTAGGAAGCCACGGAATGTGTCCCAACCGGCGGCGACCAGCGGGGGCATCGCCCACGTAAGGGTTGCCCACTCCGCCAGCACCTTGAGGCCGTAGAACACCAGGAATGCCGCGTTGCACACCCACAGGAACTTGTCACGCCACGCCGGGAGGGGGCCCTTAGGAGGTGCCTAGAAATATACGCCGAGTCCTTCGTGCCATCGTGTGCCACCAGGGCGTCATAGTACATGGCATCAAGGCGGCGCACCAGGCCCTGAGCGCCCTGCATAGGCGGCTAGTGTCCTTCGCGTCTAGCCGGTTGCCTAGGTGGAACCACCACACGCGGCCCAGCGCCAGGCTGCCATCGGGGCTAGCTAGGGCCACACCCACCTACGTGGACTGAACGCCCTCCACGCGAGCGTGCATGGCCTCATAGCTAGCATTGAGCGTGCCAGGAGCAGACACGGACACCGGGGCCAGGGGCCGAGCGAGGATGTCGTGGGACATGGCCACGGGCATGATCGGGAAGGAGGGGCGGACCAGGGCTCGGATGACCACTCCTCCTCCTAGTTGTGTGCCCACACATCCACCACCAAACCTTGGAGGACTCAGCCTCAACGTGTGGTGTCGGCGGCATGGTTTCTTTCTTTACCTCTTGTTGCTCCCTCATGCCCATTGATCATGGCGGGCACCGCCAATGTTAGCATAGGGAGGAGATGGATCGCGATGAGTTTCAGGCCTCGACACTTTCAGTTCACCCACTTCAACAGGAGAGACTCAAAACCTTGACTAACCTTGCGTGCAAACCAGGGATTTTTAACTTTTTGCCATCCTTATGGATGGCACTCCTTCATTGCTAGCTCTGTGCGTGCTCCTATATAATTGTCATCGCAAACAGTGAACCTTCTACGCTCCTATCATTTTCGCTGATGTGGCACGCTAGGTGGGCATGCCAGCATGGAAGCGAGCTTGGTAACCCTAACTTGATACGGGAAATGACCTATTTACCCATGCTGCTTCTCTCCCTCTACTTTTTGATGTGTGGGCCCTACATGTCAGCTTCATCTTCAATCTTGGGCCATCACCACGTAGTGAGGGGAAGGGAGGAGCTACCAGCTCTGGTTGCCCGAGCACACCGTGACCTCATCGACAGAGAGTACCTCACCCATGTCAGATGCCAGGGATGCGCCACCATGGTCAAGAACCTCTAGCGCAATCTCTTCACCAACATCTCCAGCGATAGGTCCTCGGACTCCGATGGGTAAACACACATACTCGAACTCTAGCTAGCTATTACAATTCCAAATCAGATCAAGGTAGCTTGATCAAAGCAAGCTGATTTTGATGCGCCAGCTTGTGGTCCAACAGTGTGTGGAGCCATGTGGTGTTCCAACACCCCAAGATGTTCGTGATGCTGGCCATGGACCTAGGCAAGAAGAAGGAGGTGATGGATGACCTAGACACGTTCCGCAATGGCAAGCTCTACTACATGCACATCGGCAAGGCGTGGAAGAGACTACTACGCGTGCATCGGCAAGGCATGGAAGAGAGGGTACCTCCGAGAAGTCCACCATGATCGTGACCATGGCCAACCACCTCGACTACGACATGTACGACATCGAGCTCACATCCGTGTGCACCAACACCGACCTCCGCAAGCTCTTCATCAAGACCACCAGCAAGTCCATCATCATCATCGACGACATCGACTGCTCACTTGACCTCACCGGCAAGCGCAAGAAGAAGAAGGAGGGTAAGGACAGGGGTGACAAGGAGGACAAGCTGAAGAAGGAGGATGACAAGGCAGGCAGCAACAAGGTGACGCTCTCCGGTGTGCTCAACTTCATCGATGGGCTATGGTCGGCGTGCGGCGGCGAGCGCATCATCGTGTTCACCACCAACCACTTGGAGAAGCTGGACCTGGTGCTGATTCAGCGCGGCCGCATGGACAAGCACGTCTAGATGTCATACTGATGCGTCGAGTCCTTCAAGTTCCTCGCCAAGGTCTACCATGCCGTGGAGGCCTATGCTTGCAGGGATCGCTTCCTGGAGAGCTCGGACATCCAGACATGAAGTGGCCATGGAGGGTGACGCCACGGTGGCACCGCTGGCGCATCTCAGCAAGGGCGCTGCTTTCATGGCCAGGGGCACGGTGCAAAGCCCACGCCGACACGCGCGTCCGGCAGCGACGGCGAAACCTGCAGCACCGCAGACACAGCAAACGTTGTGCCCCAAACACAAGAGGTACGTGTGTGCATTCAAGATCTTCTTCCTATTGCTCCACCGTGTGGCATCGTATCTTACACGTGCACGAAGTCAGTGGCCTCGGCCGTGGCCAGGAACCTACCATCGGGGGAGAACCGGAGCACGAGCTCCTCCCCTCCCCTCGCTGCGAGGTGATGACCAGAGGTTGAAGATGAAGATGACATGTAGGGCCCACACGTCAGATAGTAGAGGAAGAGAAATAGCATGGGTAAATAGGTCATTTTCTGTGTCAAGTTATGGCTCCCAAGCTTGCTGCCATGCTGGCAAGCCCACCTAGCGTGTCACATCAGCAAAAGTAACAAAAATATAGGAGGTTTACTGTTTACGATGGCAATTATGTAGGAGCGTGTACAAAGCTGATAAATAAAGGAGAGGCATCTGTAAGGATGATAAAAAGTTAAAATTCCCCGCAAACGAGGAGACTATGTCGTCAGCATCAAGGAATCCAAATCTTTCTTTTCTAGTAAAAAGATTCAAGACCACAACACAACAATTCTTTTCATAAACTAATCGTCACATATGTCAAGTGGGAGAGAACACTGTACCTACAAGAATTAGTTGATTCTCTGGATCCCTGAAGAACCTGACAATCATCTCCGCCTTTTCAGTGGAAAGATCACTGTTTTCTAGAATAAAGGCCTTGGATACTTTTACAATTGCCTCGATTGAACCAATAGCTTGGGCAAGCTTGATGGATTTTAGCAGTAAATGGCTGCAAGGCAAGGGGCCTTTGCCGGCCAGATTACTTATGTTCCTTTTTGCAGGTTTTGGCATGGGCCCTCTGGACAACTAGGAACAAAATGGCGATCGAGAAACGCTTCCCTACGACTCCTACTGATGTCATCTATGTCGCAATCTCGTTGATGCAGAAATGGAGCGTGCTGCTTAAGGAGGATAGACAACGTGTGCTGCAATTGAAGGAGTCGCTCCTAGGATGGCTAAAAATGTTTACTCCTAACACTTTAGTGTCTACTGATATCTGTTAGCTTTGTGTGGTTCTTTGCTCTTGCTGTCTGTAAGGCTTGAGTGGTAGCTGTTTCTAGTTCGCTAGTTCTGTTATGCTTTGTAGCTGGTAACCCCAGCAGATGGTTGTAACACATTGCTTTCTTAAATCCTGAGTTAAAACTCTTTTAAAAAAAAGCTTGAAAAACAGTAAGGAGTAGCATCAACACGCATTGTACACAAACACCAAGAAAATTTGAATAGAGGACAGACAATTGTTGTGTAGTGTGAAATTTGAGTACATAATTATATAACCACTTGAGAGGCTAAAAATGGATGGGCGTACCAGGTATCAGGCAACAGTCAATGTGCAAATATAGCACATGCTACGTCCTTATTCTTCAAGAGGTGCATAAAGTCAATCATCTTGTATGCAAAGTTCCAAAATATGTTTGTTAAGCGTGGATCTTCCCTGAATACTATACAGACTGCACGTACTATTTTCAGAAATCTTAGTGCAGACGACAGGGAAATGATGATACTTCTCGACAAAAACAATGTGAATCGTGTGAATTATTGTCCCCGGAGACAAAACTTGCTAATAAGTCAGAACTAACCTCCTACTATTCATATCTCAGTAACCAAGAGATCATAGAGTTATAGAAAAAAAGGAAAACAATTCAGCACATACCGCATTTGCATCGTGACTGTCAATACCAGGAATAGAGGTGACCACTCATAAAAATGCATCCATGCACTGAGCAGCTTGCTCCCACTACAAGGGCAAGCGAGAGAATCATTTTAGACCCACAAATAGTATGCCCATATATCTGGGAATATATGAAATTACCTCATTCTTCATGGTTGTGATAATATCTTGCTGCTTGCATACTAAACAAAGACAGACATGTGATCAACGTCAGCTTGTGCTTCAGAGCTTGAACAGGAGTAAGGAGCTTGGTAAATGAAGCTAGAGATTTACCTCCACGAGCATGAGCTATCTTTACAATCTTCACAAATCCCATCTCTAGATCACGAACAGGCACAAATGTAGGATGGCCAAGCTCCATTCCATACCTTGATTAAGAACAGTACAGTATGCATAGGGATGACTCAGATAGAATAAATATACTTCACACTGAGCATTATAGCGTGTGCATTCTTGAAATATGATTTGATTGAATGTGTCATTTTGCTCTCCTGTGGAAAGGACAACAACAACATAGAGATGTTTGAACTGCCTCTTGAGCGTATGCACCCTGCAAAAGCATCCCAAGACTGGCATCACCTTCAGAATAAATACAGTTATAACAAACATAAGAGGGAAGAGTCTCACCTGCTGAAGACAGTAGCTTCCCTTTCTGAATCCCAACTCGTCTCAAAGACAAAAGCAACAGACAAGCCCATTAGATTGATCTCCACCAGTTGGCCCAATGGTCAATTGGGCCCTTGATCTGTGCCCTGATCGGGGGTGCCTAGCCGTTCTCCTGGCTGATGTGCCCCCGTCGCGCAGCGCTATAAAGAGGAAGGTGGGGGCCGGGGCGCAATGTACGAGGTTGATCGCAGCCGCCAGCCCCACCGAGGTTCCTAGCCTTAGTCCGATCTAGAAGGGCGCGCTGTGAGCGACGGGAAGTACCACTGCCTTCACCGCCGCCTCTGCACAGGGTCGGACATCCACACCGCCGTCGGGACACCACTAGAGCGCTACCCGTCGCCGACCTTATCACCGACATGTCGCAGCCACCTTGTTGGCGGTGCCACGGCCGCGACCGCCCTTTGGTGAGGTATGTCAGCAAGTCCCCTTATCTAAGTTATATTTTTACCCACTGATCTACGCCTAGACGGTCCAAGATCTCTATTAATGGTATCAGAGCATGGTTCTCCTAGTGTGTAGATCGAGTCTAGGGTAGAAAAGTGAAAAGAAATTAGAAGGAGATGAAAGATTTCCAAGTTTTCCCAAACCCTAACCCTAGAGGACAAGAAGAGAAAGGAAAGGAAGGGGGTTTTCCTACCTGGGAACCGCCCGCACTGTCACCATCGTCGGCCGTCGCATCGACGCCACGCGGGAAGTCACCCTGAGCCACCACGGGCGTGAGGAGAAATAGTCTAACCTAACCCTAACCCTAGAAGGGGAAAGGATGAAGAAGGGGAGGACCTACCCAAGCTCTTGGGGTATATCAGAACAAGAAAGAGAAGGAGGGAACTCGATCTGCCAATTGGATCGAAACCCTAACTCAACACGAAACCCTAACACTAACCGCAAGAGAGTAAGGATGAAGAAGGGGAGGACCTACCCGGACTCCACCATGCGTCACCACTATCGTCGCGCGGGAAGAAACCCACCATCACACGGGCAGAATGGGACGAGCCACCGCTCGACGCTGGGTCACCGGCACGCGGGCTCAGGGCACCGACGTGAGGCCACTCGATGGCGGGCGCGCTCACCCACTAGGGAGTGCGCGCTCCAGCAAGGGGGCCCATGGTGGTGCCGCACTCCTCCTTTTGCCTTGTGCGACCGTCTCGGACACCGTCGGGTGAGAGAAAAGAGAGAAGAGAAAGAACGCGAATGATCTAGGGTTTGGGCGCACCGCCGTGGCGGAGGAGTTTTGATCTCGCGAGAATGACGCCTGACCACCGGATGAAGATCGACGGCTCAGAATGAATTAGGCCGAAAGTGGCCCAGGCGGGATCGGAGATTCCTGGCCCAGGCCCAAGTTGCAGCCTGGGCGCGGGTGAGCGGCCGCCGTGGGCCGACTTTTCCTACTGGGCCGCAGCAAAGCCCTACAGCTTGCTGGGTCGATCGCGGGCGTGTGGGTGCGATTTCGCAAATGGGCCACGAACTGTTTCTCCAGGCCAGGCCAAATGCACAGTACCGATAAGAATTAGTTTATTTATTTTCAGAAGCGAATTTTGATGACTTTTGATGTTTTTCATCTCTATTCAATTTTGAACCAATAGGATAAATTGTTTAGAGAGTAGATAAGTACACAGTAAAATGCTTCTGAAAAGTAGATACATTTTTTTTCATGTTTTCGCTGCAAAGTTTAATGTTGATTATCTTCCAATTAAATTCAAACCAACGGGAGAATTTAATTTGAAGAGTAGTTGTTTTTAATAAATTATGATTATATTCATCCTCTAATTAAATTGGAACCAACAGAAAAAATTAAATTATAGGAGTAGTCCGATTTGTTTATGTTAAATTATGGTATTGTTATTTTCTAACCAACGTTGATGATAACAATATTATAATAAGTTTAAGTTTGAAGTTTAAATCTTTGATAAATTTTACACCAACGTGGTCAATTTTTCAGAGAGTAGATAAGAAACAAAGAAATGCTCCTGAACTAATAGAATGTATTTTATTATCGTGTTTTCGCTGCAATGAAGTTGATTATCTTCTAATTAAATTTGAACCGATAGGAGAATTTAATTTTGAAGAGTAGTTATGTGTTTTTCAAGTTAATTTATGAGTTTTATGCATTAATTCTATTTTTTGCCCAACGGTGATGTAGAATTGTTGCAGAAGCATCTTGTAAGTTTTATTTTTTAATCGATGAGATCACTCGGCTGCATGCTAACGGGCTACAATGTTGGGGTATGTGAATGAAAAGACTTGAGTCAAGCCACTTCAGGATAGTTTTTTTTGTTAGTTTACTATTTTTCTGATTAAATTAGAACCAATGGAAAGATTTAATTGGAAAATAAAGTACAAGTGAATATTTTAGTCATCATGACTGAATTTTTTTTATGGTAATTTATATATAGATTTATCCCACGTGGGGAGAAGTTTGGCATAGTACTTATACTAGTCAATCCTGCATGACGGGAGAAGTTTTGTGATGACTCATATGTTTTTTATGCCGCATAGCAAGAGAAGTTTGGGTAGCTCTTATGCTATTCTAGTATTGACCATGGCACAATAGAAATGCACCGTCATGGTCAACACTAATCAAAGGACAAGAAAAAGATGCAAGTGTGACTTGCAAAAGTACAGTTAATAAAAGGCCTCGTTGAGTTCTTGAAGTGGAATGAGAAAAGTGTACTCTTATACGGATCAAGAAATAACTTTATTTGCATGGCATAATCATGTGAATGAAGTAAGTCATAAGTGTCTCATCGTTCACAGTTTTCTGAATAGTTTTCAAAATTATGGTAGTATAGTTTATGCCATATTTCGAGGGAGAGAATTATGAGATGAATTAAGAGTAAGAATTAAGATCAATTAAGAAACTACTCTTCATTAAGAGTGAGATAAATATTTTGATGAATGTGACCGTCGGCCATAACAATGATACGCCTAAGCAGAGAAACAGCTAAATTCTTGGATTTTTTTAAAGTTCCGAGAGAAAGATAGCATAGTCACCATCAAAGATATTAAAGTGGTGCTTAAAGTGCCATATAACGCCATATAAGGTTTTAACAGATTGAACCCAAATAAGAAATTAGAAGATACACTATCTTTATAAAAGATGGAACGATCTGGGGGAGCACGGTATGTAGAGACCTATGACTTGAAGAGAAGCAGGACTACGTGCCCACTTCAGTGATTCAAAACAATGAATTTCTTGATAGCTATTGATGTTGTATGACTTATACAACACATGTTGTTAGCTCTTCGAAGAAGATGAATAATGTAAACAAGGATCTTATGATACAGGAGCCTATAGAATCAATTGCCTCTTGGCAATGAAGAGCAACAATAGCCCCACATGAAAGTGCCAGTAGCTGAGGCCCCATTAGGTCTTAAAGAATTAGTAAACCAGTTTTCTGATGACTATGAAGTCTATGTTAGTGAAGAAATTCAAATAGAGGGTGATCCCACCTCATTTGAAGAAGCCATGAGAAGTGTTTACTCGTTTGAATGGCAAGAAGCTATGAAAGTTGGAGAAGAAGTCTTTGTCCTCAAGTTTCAATGTGAATGATCTTGGTGAAGCCTCGTTGGTTTTAGGAATTGATATTTACCGAGATAGATGAAAAAGGGTATTAGGACTATCGCAAAGGCATACTTAGAAAAGATTCTAAAGAAATAAAGTATGCATGCGAGTAAACCTAGGCCTGCTCCTATAGTTAAGGGTAATAGATTTGGGAATTTCCAGTGTTCCAGGAACCGATATGAGATCGATCAAATGAACATGGTTCCAAATGCTTTAGCTATTGGAAGCTTAATGAATGTACAAGTAAGAACTTACCCTGACATAGCTTACGTATCCGGGATATTTTGGTAGAAGTCCAGTTCAAATATAGATCACTGGAATGGAGTTAAGAATGTCTTGCAATTTTTGCAAAGTATCATAGGCCTCATGCTGAGTAAGAAAGAACAAGTACTCTCAAATAGTTGTGGATACAAATATTAAGTTTTGGCGAGATGTGTAGTGAAATTCACAATAGTTGCTAACACTCACAGTTGGAGTATTATTGTGGAAAAGCTCCAATGAAACAGTTATGGTGTCATCAATGATGCATACCATAGTATAGCTTGTCATAAGGCCTCAGGAACAGGCAAAAGTGGTTAAGGGAATATATACCCGGATTTAATAATGGTAGTCAACAACAATAACCATTTAAAGTAGTTAACTTATAAGATAACAGGTCAAGTGTGCTGTCAAACATATTGACATTAAGTTATATGTTGTAAAGGAGAAAATTCAGAATCATTTTGAAAGCATAGCATATAAGTACCAAGCAAGTACTTACGGATTCGCTTACCAAAGGCTAACCAGCCAGTGCGTTCAGAGACCACACAGTCGACATGGATTTACGGGAAAGCCTATGATTTCTGGATACTAAGGTCCTAGTTGAGAATTTATTTCAAAACAGAGAGGTGCATTGTAGCTGTTTAATCTAATGGCAACTGACCATAACGATGAGGCACGCTCTATGCACTGATCTGCGATGGAATGAGAAAAAGATAAAATAAGTTAAGTTTAAGTCATAAGGTGAGATCAAGGAGGAGAATGTTAGATTAATCTCCATCAGTTGGCCCAACGGCTAATTGGACCCTTGATCCGTGCCTTGATTGGGGGTACTCAGCCGTTCTCCTGGCTGATGGGCCCCCGTCACGCAGCGCTATAAAGAGGAAGATGGGGGGTGGGGCGTAATGTATGAGGTTGATCATAGCCGCCAGCCCCACCAAGGTTCCTAGCCCTAGTTTGATCTAAAAGGGCACGCTATAAGTGACGGAAAGTACCACTGCCTGCACCGCCGCCTCTACATAGGGCCGATCGTCCACACCCCCGCCGGGACACCACTGGAGCGCTACTCGTCGCCGACCTTATCACTGACACGTCATGGCCACCTTGTTGGTGGCGCCATGGCCGCGACTGCCCTTTGGTGAGGTATGTCAGCAAGTTCTCTTATCTAAGTTATATTTTTACCCACTGATCTACGCCTAGATGGTCCAAGATCTCTATCAAAGCCCCCATTGTTGAAGATGAAGTCCTGGAGTCCACTCGATCAGGTTATACGCACAAAGATGCACATAATGGCAAGGGCAAGTCACTGGCACCTATAGATTTGGTGTGGTTACCGGAGGCACTGAAAAGGGAGTTGAGGCGATACGAGTTTGCGGAGATCGAGGAAGCGGTGATGAAGTTGATGAGGTTGTAGTGCTGCTTGTCTCTCGACGAAGTGCTCATCATGCATGCTTCACAGCTTGCGTTCACAACAGTGCTCAATTGAGTCACAGAAATTCAACTCCATGTCCTGTCTGTGGACAGGAGGTGTTATGGCAACTCAAGCAAATATGTTACGACTGCTAGTTTAGAGTACTAGAAATGGCGATTCCAGTCATAGTTAGAGCACCTCTAAGGGACCTCTTAAATTGAAGCCCCTATATTCTCATGTAGGGGGCATCCTAAACATAACTCCTCCATGTATCCATATAACTGACACATGATCAAGGTTTACACAGTACAATAGGTTTACAGAGTAGAACAGTGAACAGTCAAAAATTGGTTGTACTGATGATAGTTTGTTAGGAGTTCAAATTACAGTATAACACAGTTCAGCCCAGTAGCATGAACAATAACAAATGCATGTGGCTGTCTAGCTCAGTTCAGTACTTGTATGAATCCAAAATAAATGGTTCTACCACTTATCAGAGCACCGGGATTTAACAAGGTAGGCAACACAAGAAGGAAGAAATTTTATCAACAAAGTTGGATGCAGAGAACATGTTATTAACACAAGCACGAAACCAAAGCGACAGCATGTCCTCCCCAATTAACCAGCTGGATTTAGATTGGGCACCCCAGCAACAGCAATCGATTACAGAGCTCGCATTTGATTCGAACGTTCCATATATGGAATTAAGAGAGAGAGAGAGAGAGAGAGAGAGAGAGAGGAAGCAGAGCGAGCTAGGGCATACCGACAAACCCGGTGAAGGGTCTCCTCTGCCGGATGCCATTCCGCTCCAGAGCAGAGGGGAGAGGAAGAGGGCGCCACCCCGCCACCAACCACGAGAGGTGAAATTCGTCCGTTTTGCTGAAATTTGACTTATACTGATTTTTTGTGAGAAAAAAATACTTTTCGTTCGCTAAAAAGCACCGCTGAAAGTTCAAGCGAGCAGGGAGTGGAGGCAGGAAGAAGAAGGAAAGCGGTTGGTGGGCTTGAATTCGCAGGGACCTATTGGGCCGAGCCGATCATTCATCGAATTGGGTGGGCCTGCAAGACTCTTGAAGGCCGTGGCCTCGGCCATCTTGCCGGCTTCTCTCCTCATCCGGCCTCGCTCTCCCCGCCCCCACGCTTCCCTTCCTCTCTCTCTCCCCGCCCTGACGCCGCTTCCCCTCCCGAGCGTCGCACCTCCTCCGCTCCCACCCTCGGCGATCGCCGCCCCTGCCTCCGGCGCCGCTCCCCCGTGAGGGCGCGCTGCCCAGCGCATCCGCCCCTCCCCCGACGTTGACACGACGCCGGCGCCACCGGATCGTCAATTCGCCCTCGCCAGCTCGGATTCGCGTCGTGCCCCGCCTCTCCCAGCGCCGTGCTCTCCACCCTTCGCCGTGCGCTCCATCCTTCCGTCTTTTCGGCGCTGCCGGCTTGACGCTGTGCCGCGCCAGCACGGGAGCCCCGCCGCGGCCAAACCCTAGCGGCGCAGCCGTGGTGCCGGTGCGTGCGAGGCCTCCGGCGACAGTAGATTGAGGCACCGGCGTCTCGCTTCAGTGCCTATGTTCCTTTTACTGTGCATGTCCTTCATCCGCGCGTACTCTGTCATTTCCATGCAGCCCCACGGTATGGTGCCGCCGCTTCCCTCTTGCCTTCTCTACTTTTCTGTCAGCGGTTTATCCCTGATGCTTGGTTCGGTGGTGCGGAAGATTCCTGACGAGCTGGTGGAGCACTACCTCGCCCGCAGCGGGTTCCACTGCCCCGACCTTCGCCTGTGAGTGCTCGTCCTCTTTCCAATCTCTCTTCCTGATGGATAGTAGTAAGCTGAGATCTGATCAGTGCCATGGATTAAAACTTAAAAACACAAACTGCTTGATTTCTTGCACACATAATCTGATTTCGCGTTTTACCGAACGAGACTGGTTGCTGTAGCCACCCAGAAGTTCCTATCAGACATACGCCCTGTTCGCGTAGCTTATAAGCCGTACTTTTCAGCCAACGAACAATATTTTTCTCTCACAACAAATCAGCCAACAGTACTTTCAGCCATAGCTAGCGATTCTCTGCAGTGAGTAAATTCATAGTCTCGTTATTATTACAAAGTAAAAGGATTCCCTTCTTAATTTCATTGATAGCATATTCAAGAATTGAACTTTATCATTCTTTTCTTCCACATGAATGCAAATCTTCTGTGCAATACTGCAATTCCATATTTTTGTTTGGTTCGGCAAGTTTATTAGGCTTCAATCAAAATCCCTCCCTAATTGCATGTACTTGTGAAATTATTCATCGAACACATGGTTTTTTAAGGTGTCGCTTAGGCGATAAGGCTTGCTGGAAATCTAGGCGTCCCTGTCACCATGATCAAATAGAGAGGGAGGGAAGGAGAACCGAAGAAGAATGGGAGGGGAAGGAGGGGGCCATCAAGGCCAAGAACCTGAGCTGGTGCCATCCCTGCTGCCTCCGGCACTGGTGGCTGGCACAGAACTTGCTCCAGTCAGCCGTGACACAGTCAATCTGGAAGGGAATGATTTGAGAGTGCAGGTCAGTGAGGAAAGGGAAAAAAAGTGGGAGGAAAGAGAAGTTTCAGGCAGTGGCAGTGGTGGCGCATCTAGAGAGAGGTAGAGGGAGCTATGCTCCATTGATACGTGGGGGTGACCATGTATATGTGCACTGGAGCCATTGATACTGTGAAGGGAGGGAGAGACTAAAGAAAGGAAGAGCATGAAGAGAACCAGGCAAGGCTGCACCTGCAACTGCCCTCACTCTCATCTCCGTTGGCTCCGGCGCCTGTGGTCATCGCAGCTCTTCACCGGTCAACTGTATAGCTCGATCTGAAGGGGGCAGCACCAGTACACAATCTGCATATGAGTAGAGCTCAATTTCAAAAGGGGTGGCATCGGCCCTCAATCTGGGAGGCCGGCGTGCTCTTGGGGCAGCCAGGCTCGTCGTTGCTCCAACGCGGTAGCATTGGGAGAGGGTAGGGTTTTGCTTTATGGGCTGTTGGTTGAATTGTGCTCTAATGAGTTAGTGGGCTGGCTGCTAATAGTTATTGTGGCCCATCAGTGCTTGTATTTACCTCGTATTCTCTTTTATATATCTTATTACATATTTTATGTGCCATACTCTTTGGCAATGAACCAACTGATGACTAAAATTTTTGGGTTGCCATGATTTTGGTTGGGAAAAAATTGGAAGCCAACCAAGCAGGCCTATTATTTACTTTTCAAAAAATATTAAAACATATCCCCGTATTGAGAGTTGGAAAAAAATGACAATCTGCGTATCCGTAATTCTGTATCCATGGTACATAGACTGAGGGAGGGAGCACTGACACGAGGGACAGATGTAGGTCTCACCTTACTGCCTTAAGAACCATGAATCCACAGTCAATGTAATAATATCGGAATGATGACAAATGTTTTCCTATTGTTACAACATTTCATGTTTCTACTGTTCCATTCAGAATATGTTATGATCCTAGTTATCACTTACTTGCATTTATGCTGGTTGTAACTCAATAACCTTCCCACTTGCTGAAACATTGTTCGCTCTCTGCTGCTCTCGCAAGCTTACCATGCCACCATAGCGATGGATTAGTCCGTTGGATATTTCTTGGTAGAAAAGAATATACCCCGTCTTCATTGTCTAAATATATAGTATGATCTCTCTTGGAATTTTCTATACTAGCCAAGGGTTCCATGGATCCCTATGCATCCACTGACTCCCTCCTAGGGTTCTTGTTCATTAAAGGAATTCATTTTTGTTAAAGGATTATGTTCTGATACATAATGGATGTGCCTATACTACTAAATTTGTGAGACCTATCCTCATTTTGTGTAGGTTGGCAAATTCTAAAGCTACAAATAGTGTATAATGGCATTTAGTTCAGTGTGACTCCTTAGAGTTTCGTGTTATATTAATACAACGTGCAAAATTTAAAAACATTAATACCCCCCTTATTTTTGCATAGTCAAATTACTTTTATAAACAGGTTATATACCAGCTGAGTCTTGGTTTCTTTAATGGAAATCCAAAGGGGGTAATAGTGTAACATGCAATTGTCTTCTTCAAAGTTTTTTAAAACACACAAGATACATTTACAAAGTGTATGCCTAATTTTGTGGAGATTCTGTAACTATATTACCAATGGAGCTCATTCTTTATGTGGCCTGGCTAATCAAGTGATGAATAACTAAAGCATACTGAAATTAGAAAACAGGCCAATTAGAATTTTTTTTGGTATCATCATCATGATAAGTTACCAACTAAAAGCATACCTAATTAACTAAAGGATATGCCTGATCAATCATCATGATACTATGATAGGCTCATGTATCACATCAATTTACTAATCCCGTGGGAAAACAGATTCATTGTGAGGGGTGGGTGGGCTCTTTTGGATTATATTGCGTAAGTTTGCTTATTTTGTGGGGTTTTTTTTTGTCAGTGTATGACATACTCTACTCTTCACTATATAGCAAACTATTTTAAGATTTTATTAGCAACATGCATTATACACACTGTAGTCGTGTGCACTAATTTTGCTATTACATTATTCTTTCCCTTGAACTAGGCACTGCAAGGCCAGGGTAGCAGCACCGATCAAAGACAATAAGAGCAAACAGCCTAAGGTGTATTTACTCACCAGTTGAACTTTTCATGTTCCTAGCGTTAAATCTTGTTTAGTATCCTTACTGCTTATGTTATGACCGGCGTCACATATACCAGGAGGAGGCCCATTAGTGGCTGAGCTTGCGCGCCGGCATTAGAGGGCTAACAACCCATATTATCTATTATTTAGCCTATTTATTAGATATATCCCTTATTTTTTAGAGCTATATATATGGCTTGTAAGACATTTGGATAATCAAGCAGAAACAATCTTAATTGTTTCCGGCTTCCTCTGGGAGCCGAGATTTGCCCTAGCCGCCGCCTGTTCATCTTCTCCACGCCTGCAACCTCGCGACGGCGCCCAGCCGCCGGCAGCGAGGTCCCAAGCCTGCTCCACCTCCCTCTCACCCCTACAGACTCCGTGATCTACGCGGTAGGATCCGTAATCCTATCAGCTTACTTATCAGACTGCTCAGGAACGATGTCGCAACCTTAACCGACCTCCTCCTTCCCACCACCACCTACCTCCACCGCGCCGCTCCAATCTGCGGGCTCCGAGATCTCAGATGGCTCGACGACATCTGCTGCGCCGCTCACGCTCGAGTCCTTGGCGGCTGTGATCCTCGACATCAACCGCAACATCGCGTCCATGCAGGTGGCTTGGGCGGGGCTCATCCAGCAACCCTCTCCCCCCCGCGTTCTCAACGCCGCCGCCGTCCACGGGGGTTCCCTCTGTGAGCTCCCAGCCGCTGCTCCCGGCCTCGAGTTTTCCTTACGGGATGCCGGTCTCGGGCCCTGGAGTGCCGCTCCATCTTCTGCGCTGGTCGGCCTCGCCGTCCCCGATTCCATCATGGGCGATGGGCTTGGCTGCTCCTCCGGTCTACACCAACGCCACCACCGTCACGTTAATCGCAAGCCGCGCGCGCGACATCGTCGTCAGCGTGCATGCAGTCATCGGGGGGGGGGTGGACGCCTCCCTCCTCGGGGGCCCCACAGCACCGGATCAGGCCGCTATCTTCGGCGCCCAGGCTGCTCCAAAGTTCTACAAACTCGAGTTCCCCACGTATGACGGCTCCGTCGCCCCGCTCAATTGGTTGAACCAATGTGAGCAATTCTTCCGGGGACAACAGACGATGGCTTCGCAGCGCACCTGGCTCGCGTCCTATCAAGGGCGCTGCACAGACATGGTACTACGCCCTAGAACAAGACGAGGGCATGCCGCCCTGGGAGTGCTTCCGGACCTCTGCTCCCTCCGCTTTGGGCCGGCTGTACAGGGCACTCGCTTGGCCGAGTTGGCGCGTCTACCGTTCCTCTCCACCGTGCAAGACTACTCTGAGCGCTACAACGCCGTCCTGTGCCATGCCCGTGACCTCTCCCCTCGCCAAAAGGCGGAGTTGTACGTGGGCGGGCTATCGGACCAGATCAAAGTGCATGTGGAGATGCGCACGCCGCCGGACCTCCAATCTGCCATGTACTTGGCTCGGGCGTTCGAGCGCTGCGTGGCCGTTCCAGCGCCCCCTGCCCCTCAGCGGGGCAACCGTCCTCCTCAACGCTAGGGGCTGCCGCCCCTCCCACGTGCGCGCCGAAGCGCGCTCGTCCCGGGCGCGTACGCCTCCGCCAGCCGGGCGCCCCGCTAACGCTACGCCGGTGCGCGCGTCTGCTTTCGCCGCCTCCCCAATGGAGATGGTGGCGCCGCCGACAAGGGCTCTGTTTTAATTGTGATGAGCCTTATGTTCGCGGCCACGTCTGCCAGCGCCTGTTCTACGTGGAGTGCGACGACTTCATCGACGACATCGCGGCAGATGACGCTGCTGCGGTTGCCGTCCACGTGGAGGACCCGACGGCCTGGAGCTCGCCGGGGCTAATGCTTTCGTCGTCTCTCTTCATGCTGTTGCAGGGATCTGGCCGGCGAACTCCATGCTCGTGCCGGTCACCATCAAGGGAGAGCGCTTCCTCGCCCTCCTCGACACCGGGTCGACGCACAACTTCCTCCAGGGTGCTGCCATGCGCCGCCTGGGGCTCTCTCCCTCCGGTGGCGAGGATCTTCGCATCACGGTCGCTAATGGTGACCGCCTAGCCTGCGTGGGGATCGCTCGCGACGTCCCCATCCGCATCGCTGATGAGGACTTCATTACGTGCGTCGGTCTGGACCTCGGCGGGTTCGACTTCATCCTCGGTTTCGACTTCCTCCGGACGCTGGGACCCATCTTGTGGGATTGCACCGCCCTCACCATGGCGTTCTGACGCGACGGTCGGCGCGTCACTTGGCAAGGCGTGGGCGGTTCGGCCACGCCTACCGACCAGCAGCGCTCGGCCGCGGCCGTGGTCACCGACGACCCGGCGCTGCCCCTGCTGGACAACCTCCTTCAGCAGCACGGCGCCATCTTCGACGAGCCCCACGGGCTCCCTCCGGCACACCCCTACGACCACCGCATTCACTTGCTGCCCGGTACCGCGTCGCTGGCGGTGCGCCCTTACCGCTACCCCCAGCTCCAGAAGGACGAGCTGGAACGTTAGTGTGCGGAGATGCTCGCGCAAGGCATCATTCGACCGAGCACCTCGCCGTTCTCCGCGCCGGTCCTCTTGGTGCGGAAATCTGACAAGTCCTGGCGCTTCTGCATCGACTATTGTGCCCTCAACGCCAAGACCGCCAAGGACAAGTTTCTGATCCCAGTGGTTGACGAGCTGCTTGATGAGCTCCATGGCGCGCGCTTCTTCACCAAGCTGGATTTGCGTCTGGTTATCACCAGGTGTTCATGCACCCCGACGACGTCGCTAAAACGGCGTTCCGCACGCACCATGGCCACTACGAATTTTTGGTGATGCCGTTCGGTCTCTCCAACGCTCCGGCTACCTTTCAGGCGTTGATGAACGATGTCCTCCGGCCGTATTTGCGCAGGTTTGTGCTGGTATTTTTTGATG